AGCCCGGGCTGCGGGGGCAGCCAGGGGCAAAACTGACACCGGCGGAAAGATTTGGGTCAGGGATGGAGAATTACGGGCTTTAGCACCCCAGACAAACCCCAGCAACAGCGCTGGGGTTCCACTGAGTTTGGGAATAGTTTGCAGGATTTGGTATTTTGTTGTTAAATTCTTCTGCCCTCGCAGTCCCCTTCCTGGTGGCTGCTTCTCACCCAGCTAAAACCAACGTATCTGCTAAATTCTGTGCCCGACCCTCCCTGTGAGCATTGCTGCCAGCACAGCCCTCCAGCAGTCACCAGCCTGCCCCGTTCCCGCACAGCCCCATCCATGGCGGGAAGGGGACGAGTGTGACCCGGCCACACAAAGGCAGCAGCAGGAGCCTAAAAAGTCGAATATGTCCTCACAACTTCTAAAACGTCGTTCCTCAGTCCCAGCTTTTCCACGCTCTCTCCCGCGCAGTTTTAGAGCATCGGGGAGAGCAAAGGATGCGACTGGAACTGCAGCAGCGATGGTGAAATGACCCCTTGCACTCATCTGCCTCCCCCTGCTTAGGCAACACCAAACGTGAGGACAAGGGGAGAGGACAGAGAACGCGTGGAAAGCGCTTCAGGTTTTCAATTTATTTGACGGCACTCTTGGTTAGGTCTCCGCACTTCCAGAGAGGAACTCGGCTTTCTCCTGTCAGTATTTCTCAGATAACTGAGAAAAACAGCAGAGGAGCTGCAAGTACTTCAAATAGGAAGAATGTTCATTTAGAACCACCAAAAAACCGTCAATGGGCTCTGAAAAGGTGGGATCTTGACATTAAGTAAGCTTTAAGTGATTAAGAGCCTTTTTAGTAGAAGAAATTAAAATTTAAGGATATTTTCAAGAAGATTACACTCAGACCATTTGTGTCATGAATTGAGTTGCAGTTTTTAATGAGAACACATATCCAAATGGACAAAAATTACCTATCACCAAGACATCAGATTTTTTAATTCGCCAGTAAAGGAGGAGTGGTGTGCAGCTGGGAAGCAGGGCAAAGCCCATCCTCGTGCACGCTGCAGAGTGCATCTTCCCATTTGTGCCGATCAGCGCGAGTGCACAGAAAAACTCATTGCTCCTGAAGAAAACCCCCGAGACCGTAACCCGTGGAGGGCTGCGAACGGCCACCACGCTGTGTGCCGACTCCCGAAGGCAAAGCTTGGCCGCCTTTCGGCAACGCCAGCGTTTCCCGCAAAGCCACGGATCGGGTTCGTACGCAGCAGCGGGGAGAGGAGCATGAACGGCTTCTAAACGCCGTGGGTTGTACAGGCCACAGATTACGGTTGGGATTACCAAAGTTATGAAGATTTTCTAAAATTATTTGTGTGGGGGTTGTGTCCCTGTGTCTTTTTTGTTCACCGACTCTCTCGTTGCGGCTCTGCCTGGGAGGGCAGCTCCCAGCCCCGCTGCGCTCTCCCGCAGCCCTCGCCCCCCCCTCCCTGCAGTGCCAGGCTGTTTTCACTTGGCGGCAGCCTTGCACCACACGTCAGCTGTAAAGGCACCCGGGCTGGGGGAGCGCCGCCGCCGCCTCACCCGGCAGCTCGCAGGTGGAAACAGCTCCAGGCGCAGAGGAGCAACAGCTGAATTATTTTAATAAGGTTTGATTCATCAACATTTGCACACTGCTGACTTTTCATTTAGCTCCTCTAAATGTGATTTCGCTGCTCTCCGATCACAGTCTTGTGAAGTGCAGGGCAGAGACGACCTGCAGCTGCGCGGGGAGCACGCGTGTCTCTGGGCGATGCCTCAGGGCTCACCCCCTGTTTTGGCTCTGCTCTCCGCCGAAAGCATCACCAGTGACCGCAATTAACAGCAGGGACAGAGCGAGAGCTCAGTTTTGAGCAAGTTGGAAAGTATGTAGATAAGAGTGATATTTCCTAATCAGCTGTCCCCGAGGAATTCTGACCTTGGATACTCCGGAAGCCAGTTATCTGGGCCATTAGTGAACTTGCGAGGGACAGGTGAGATACCAGCAGACGGGCAAAGGCCAAAGGTAGCATCTGTCTTCAAAAGCAGGGGACGGGAGGAACCAGGCAATTACAGACCTATCTGCTTAACTATGATGCCAGGAAAAATACCGGGGAAAATAAATTCCTGAAAAAAACAAGATTAATAGCAGGACCCATGAACCGGTCAACAGTGAGTGGTACAACATGGTAATGTGTTTTACGCGGGGAAGAAGAATACAAGATGCAATACAGAAAAAATTTAAGAGTCCAGGGCTTTGAACATATCTTTTCCGTTCATCTCTGGACGCACACGACACACCTCTTGACACCACTTTGAAAAGAGCAACCAACAACATTGCCGTGCATTAGGCTGCATTTGTGACACCACTCTTCAAAGCAGAGCAGCATTTAACATTTTCTTCTTTTCCCTCTGCTCAAAATGACCTTCTGGCAACAGACTTTCTGGACTGGAGCGTTTTCTCTGGTTTCTGTTTGGGGACAAATCTGTGCCAATTCCCATCAGTTCATGTGCTTTAAGGATGCAGAATACAGTTCTCTTCTGAAGCATATGTGGGCTTGAAGTCAAATTCAGACACTGAAAAGATCTGATGTGAAGCAAGCTATGGGTTAGAACACAGTTTTCCCTATGTGCATGCAATATGTCAAACTAGAATGATTTGCACCCCTTTCCATGCAGTCTCAGGCTGAGTGGTAAGTTCTGTATATTATCCACAGTTCCTTTACTTGCCCTAAACTAGCCCCTTCAAACCTGTCTGATGTTTTGTTTGAAACTTCTAGGAACTTTCATTTGAATCCATGGGATGCAAGCTGCTCAGATACAGCGGGCACAATTATGGTCAATTAACTTTTCTTTTTTAAAATAAAAAAAAAACCTGAACAAATTCAAACTGCAAGAAGCCAAGCGGTCTCGCAGCAAACCCTCCCATTTCAGGAGGATGGGGGAGTCTGGGCAGAGCAGACTACCCCTAAAGGAATAACAGTTCTCCCGGTTCATCAGCCTGTGTTGGTTTTAGAAGCAACATCTGAAACGTCTAAGAACGGGAGTGTAGTGCATATGCTCAGCCACCCCTGCATACACAGGGCCTTGGAGACACAGCTGTTAAAAAAAAGCCTCATCTAATGACCTGCCCTGCCTCTGTAGCTATCTGGTCCCAATTCTGCCTGGTCTACGGGCAGAAAATAGTAGGAAATGAAATCTAAGACCTTGCTTGGAAACTTCAGGCCGGGTTTCAGATCTTTTTTCCAAATGTCCCAGCACACTGGTGACAGAGCTTTGAAACCTGGCCACGTCCATCTGGGGCACAGGAGCGGGGAAGGAGCTGCACAGCCAACGCTGGGCGAGAGCATCTGCACGAGGGGGGAGCCGAGCTCTCTGGGCTGAGGGTCCTCGGAGGATTAAGCAGAGGACAGGCATGCGGCTCCCTGGGGAATGCCACCAGCCTCCCGTCACTTCTCAGGAAAGTCTCCAGGAAACTATCACTGAATAAACCTTTTGTTCCTAAAGGTCTTGATTTTCTGGGTCTAAAACTTGGGAGGACGGTCTTAGAGAATGTTATAAACAGGTTAAAAATATCTTGACTTTTATTGTTTGAAGATAAAATGTAGCTAAGCAGTATTTCCAAGGAAAGAGGTTAGTGTCTAAGCAGAGGAAAAGATGGAGGCAAGTCTCTTCCCCTTTGTGAACAGAATGAAATGCAAAAATAAACATCAAAACCCAGGAGAAATTAATTACTTCTTAAAATTCCTTCCAGCTATAACAGTCCCAGCTTTTATTTCCATTTGTTAGATCTACTAAAGTAGGAGGCCCAAGGAAAAACTTTAAAATCATCAAATCATGTTGCTTCTTTGCCAAAGCCCAAAAAGCAGTCCACAATTTTCACCAAAGTTTTTACCTATGCTTTATCGTCCCTTTTAGGAAATGACCACCTTAGAAGTCAGCCTAAAACAAAAAATACATGGCTGCCAATAAGCCTGAAAATAGCATTGCAAAATATTTGCATTGGTGTTTTGTGGGGTTTTCTTAATAAAAGCTGTTTTAGTAGGTTACAGCCCAGTCTGGACCTTGCTGGTGTGCAAGTGCTGCACAAACACACCCTAAAAGACAGATCATGCTCCGAAGACCCTCCCATCAATGGCAAGGAGATGGACAGGGTCTAATCACCGTTCTGCAGCTGAAGCAGAGTTAGATTTGGGTCCCCTGGCACGATTAGGAAGGCTCTAAGTTCAGGAGAGGTGCTGGGAGCACTGCGCCGGGGCTGCTGGGCCATGGGAAGCCAGCCCTGTTGCCTCAGTCAGACCCCTCGAAGGACTGGCTGGAGAGAGCCTGGGCCAAGCCTGCAGAGGACCGAGGAGCAGAACTAGCTATTCTGAGAGCCATTCCAGGGTTCAAAATATAAACCAGGCTTTCCTCGCAATGAGAGAGAGGCAAGGGTTTGTACTGTTTAAGGGCCAACTGAGCAAGCTGCATCCAGCAGATAGGTGTGCTTCCCAGCGTGGATGCGTTACGCTACGAGGATACAGTAGCTCTGCAGAGATAACAGCAGCATCGGAAGCACACGGCTCTCAGACATGGGACAGCCACTCAACCGACTCTGACTAGCTAATGTCACTGGCAAAGCGAACAAGCGTACAGTCTCCTGAGCAACTCACCTCCAGAGGGTTGTAGATTTTCATGGTGAAGCTTTCTCTGTGATTTCAATTTTTCATTCTGGGAAAGTCATTAAAGTTTTAAATATCTCCATTCACACAAGACTCACCCGAATTCCTGCACACCTATGTCCCGGCGTACATGCGTGTGCGTGGCTCCTAGACCCAGTCGCGGAGGACATAAGACGCTGAGTTGGCTTTTTGACTGCTTCTCAAATGTTTGCTGCTGCCTATGGTTGCAGATACGACTGCCTCCTGCAAAATAGTAAATAAAGGCTACTCCCCACTCTGAAATTAATAACAGCTCAGTTTGCCTCCCTGCCAGACAGGCTGTAATATAATTGCACGCCCCATGGCTTTACCCAGCGATCGCTCTTTCCTTTCTACTGTCACACTGCATCGCATCAGGGATTCCTCGGCATCCGCCCTAGGTACCTCGGGCTGGGACTTGCTCTGCAGCACGTCCTGAGGCAGCCTTCCTTACGCACGTGTACGGAGGCCAAAGTAAGAGGAGGATGTGTGCTAGGATCACAAATGTTAACAAAGGGCCACCCAGCTGCGAAGCCAAGGTTAGCTATTTGTCAGGAAGCCTGGATACAGTTTTCATTTCTCCAAAGTGAGCAATACCTCTGGTCCAACGGTGGCTGTTGAACAGAAGCACGCGGGTATTTGGCTGTTCGCAGCCTACAGACGCCTCCACTGCGGGTGCACGCTGCTTATAGGGGACTCCTGCTGGCAAAACTCACAGCTATTTTTAACATATACAAAAAGCAAACGGTAGAGGTAAGGAACTACAGCAAGGCATTCATATCAGACAGA